AATTCACATTTTACCAATTAATCGCAAAATACCCAAATTTCACAAGTAAAGCGTCATAGCAAGATGGAATTAAAATGAGCAAAAGATCAATATAAAGATCATTTTCGTTAAACAATATCGAACACTAAATTTATAAAGTGAGAACCAAGGCAATATATGGAGAAAACTCAATTTTTCTTAAAATCAAGTTTGGAAGATGAAAAAGAGAAATTTAATGGTTACCAAACCATCCCATTATTCAAACATAGCATTTATTACAAGGAGAATTAAGAATCATACAAATCATTTCAAATAAATATGGATGGGAGTGGAAAACATATGTATATACATAAACCCTAGCCTCAATGTAAGAAATTAGGAAGAAATCCCCTACCTCTTGGTTGTAGCTTCAATCTAAGACCCAAGATTCAAAATCTTCCTATTCTCCTTCCTTTTCCTCTTAATTTCGTCCTCCTAGGGTTTCTAGAGATTTGGGTGTGAGTGGTTGAGGAATAGAAGCAAAAGAAATGGGTGGAGAAGAGAAAACTTGAGAAATTCGGTTTTGATCTTTATGAGGTGGGAATCTCTCTTGACCTTGGTGTTTTTCTCTCCCTTTTTTCTTCTCTTAGGGCTCTAAGGTATTTAGAGTGGGAGGGAAATCAAGAATGGGAGAAATAGGGCTTGGAATGGATGTTTTAAAACCCAAAAATCCCGACTTTTACTGTTCATCGTCTGTTTTGGGGGTTTTCCAGACTTACTGTTTTCCTTATTTTTGATCATGATAAACTTTGAATCTGAAAAAGTGCAAAACATGAAAGTTGTAGATCTAGATGTCTTTTGCATTGTGTCAAAATTTCAGCTCAATCGGACTATTGTAGCAAGAGTTATGATGATTCTACGACAACTGGTCCGGAGTAGGCAATGTACCCGGAGCAGCGCCCCAGCGCCCATTTGGGCGCCCCTTTTCACTTCCAATCCTTCCAACTTTAATCCTAACTTATCATACATACTTTTCTACATCGACCTAATTAGTTCAAGTTCTTTTATGATTTATTTTGTACATTTTCATACCGAAACTAATCTTTTAACTACTCTTTCCTTGAGTTATACTATTTTAACATTTCAAATGAAATAATTACTGAACACCTATGTCTTTTATTTTTTTATTATTATTTTTTTTTAAACGCATGTGGGGTATTACAATTTTCATCCATCCCCCTCTCACTTAGCATGAGTGACTGACTTGGAGTGAGTGGAGAGAGATTATCCACAAATGCTTCAAAAATCAACCAAAGTATGGCCCCCCATGCTTTTTCCAACCACTCCCTCATTCTTCAAATCTGAATGTAGAGGTTAGGAGGTCATCACAGAGTGTTAGCAATGTCAGAACATGGATTAGGTAATGGTAGGCCCTCGTAGTTGGTGGAGTTGTTTGTAGAAGGATCTAGATTTTATAGGCAGCTTCTACCGGTAGCTCGTAAGGATGCTACCGATAGCTGGACAAATCTCAATGTTGAGTCAACAAGGGACAGGTGGGAGATACTGGTAGCTAAGGCGAAGAGCTACTGGTAGATCATTTCCAGTAGGGTCTGTTACCAGTAGTTTAGGCAGGGAACTACCAGTAGATAATTTCTAGCAGGATCGGCTACCATTAAATCAGGCAGAGAGCTACGTAAGTCTAGTACAGGTAGCTCTTCTTCTTGTCTTGAGATTCTTGGTTCCTTGAGTTCCCGAGCCATCCATCTTGTGATCCTTTCTTTCCCATTGACCTCAATCACTTCATGGGGTGCTTTATGCCTGCCCTTTCCAGCCTATCATCTATAATCAAGTCATTCTCCATTAAAAATTGATTTGAATCCATTTCCTCAAAAAATTACTACAAAACAAGTTAAAATGGATGCAATGAAGATGTTTAATATGCAATGTTCCACACTCATCATGACCCTACTTTTATTTTCTTCAAATTAAAAAATGATAAACCTTTATTGCTTTATTATTTGGTATGGTTGTTCAATTAAAGTATTGTTAACATTATTTTTCTCGATTTTCTCTTTATTTTTAAATTTTTCTATGTCGCATCACTTTGAGCCATTTATTTTTTTTTTCCATTCCTTTGCTTACAATATTTAATAATTCAATAGATTAGTTGTTGTGTTTGGCCACTTTCACCCATTTTCTAGAGTTTTGATTTTCATTCCCCTTTAACTTGATGTTATATCATTGAATCCATTTAACATAATCAAAAGGCAATTATTTAATGATATCCAGGCCCTTTCCAAAAAAATGATATTAGGGCCACAATATGGTTTAGGTAGAGTTCGGTTGATCTCAGTTAAGTATTAAAGTAAATGTCAAAAATCAAAAATCATTTCTGTAATTGTGGTTATAGGAAAAAGGAAGAGCTTGGTTATATCTTATTCTCCAATTTGGCAAGTTATAGGTCAACTATATATATTTTATCTATTTTACTTTTTTGCTTGAGATATATAAGTTTCTTTACCTTGTTTTGTTCTTCTGTTCTTTTTATTTTATTTTTTGGTAGGAGTGCTATGTTCATTAAGCTAATATAAAAAAATATAAATAAAAATATTTCAATTTATTACTATGTTTTTTATTTTTATATACTTATGTGTGTTGTAAATATTGTATATATTGTATACACATTGTGGATGAACCTAATCTTCCAATTAGTACCCCAAGTAAATGGGAATTAGTGGGTGTTATTACATTATCCTATAACCCCCTACCTATTGATATACCACTTTTAATATTTTATTTGATGGTCATTGATGGAGGCCTCTAAAAGGAGGTCTTGCGTACATTAAGAAATACAAGTTAAGAAGACCAATTCTTTAGCATTTCTACATCTTAGTGTTCATTCATAACTCTATATTTTTAGTTTTATAGCACGTTATCAGCACAAGTCTCTAACCAATTGTGGAGAAGATCTCAACTATTTGATAACGAGATTCTAATCAATTGCATAGATTTATCACAAGTAGCTCAACTATTGTGCAAGATAATTATTGAAAAGGTGATATACTTTTATTCTCTCCTATTGATAAATTCCAGTACAGTCTTATCAAAATAATTGATCTTGAATGTTCATGATAAGAGTGCATGTTTATTGATGAACACTCAATATTTCATTATCTCATAGCCTTTCACATCAAATTTAGGCTTCCGAACTAACTAACTTGTTTCACTTATGGAATTTTGTTGCTTAAGAATTGATTTTGGTGTTGCAGGTAGTATAGGTATAAATGTGGAGTTTTAGAAAGGATATGATGACATGGAACACAGTGGCAAAGAATATGGTCGAGATTAGATGAAGTCAGGGCCTTGCATAGCCACTTCGGGAAAATAGAAGAACTATTAGTAGTTTTTCTACCAGTAGAAAAAGAGAAAGACAAGGTTCTACCAATAGGACATCGGTTGTAGTGGCACCTAAGCTCACAGAAGTTTACAAGTCTTCATCAGAGAGGTTCTACCGGTAGTTGTAGCACAATCTACTGGTAGCTGAAGTCTTAGTACTTTTATCAAAAGGGTCCTACCAGATGTTCTACCAGTAGGCGAACCTACAAAAGTCTAAGAGGTTCCTGGCAGACAAAGAACCACCAGCAGGTCTACTATGCTACCAGTAGATCAAGGAAGATACTCCCGGGAAGCATAATTAAAGATCAAATTTTGTCAAATATTTTGGAGATTCTCAACCAATAGAATTGGGAGATAATTTTAGGATTGATATCTTTGAAAAAAACTAAAGATTCTCTTTCCTAATCACTATAAATAGAGACTCTTTGGTGAATCAAAAGGAGGTTGTTCACTAGTTTTATAAAGGTTTTTTAGGAGTCTTCCTTTACAGAGTTTTAGGTTTTGTTTACAGAATTTCATTCAACATCAGTCTTTCAGTTATCTATTTTAAGAAATATAAAATTTAAATTGCCTTTACTTTCAAAGCTTTGTTATTTACATTAGATTTTTCAATATAACCACTCAATTTCAATTCTATCATTTACTTTTCTGTATTCAATCATGTCTACTTTTAAGTTTTATGTTATTTTCATTATCAGGAGTGAGTAGTCTTCTTCTCGATGATCTAAGAAAGGAGTCCCAACCTATGAACTAGGGTTTATGCCTTAAAATAGGGTTTTAATGTTTATGTCATTTATTGAACAGGTTATGCTTTCAAAAACCTAATTAGTTTGCATACATCCATATTATTTGTATGTAATTAGGTTTGGTACCAATATTCTTGCAACCTTTAGAATATGGATTCTTCCATCATAAAACTTCTTTCAATTGCTACATTAGTTCTTTTAAAGTTTTTAGTTGAAAATCTTCCGTCTGTAGTAGTTTGAATACAAAAGCATATGAGTTATAGATTTAGGGTATAAACTCTTATTCTTAGGTGGGATGAATTCAAAAGATTATCCAGTTTTTTCAGTTATTGAATTTCAATTCATTAGTAGTTAACTCTCAAAATTCTCAACTTCAAAAGAATTTTTTCATTTTGTTCTTTATCACTTTGGATTCAAAATTCTTCCTTGAGAAGACGATCTTGGACTTTTGTTCAAGTTACTACTAGATACCTTTCTCTTGCGCTTGGGAGCTTTTGTGAAAACACACCATTTTGGAGGGCAAGCATTTATCAAAGCATAGGATATCTATAAATCCTATTTTTTTTCAAGTGTTATTCTTTCACCAATGAAAGAAGTGTGATCAAGAGATCATACCCCTCTTGAAGAATATTTGTAAAACCCAAGTAAATTTGAATTTTTATGAAAAATGATAAAACGATAATTTGCCACTATGGTACGGGTTGAAAACCCAAATTTTTCTAGAAATCGGATGATGAAACGGACCTAACCATTGGATTCATCTCGCAAAGTTTAGTTAGCCAGTCAATTTTTGTCGAATTCTGAGACAATCAGATTTTTTGCATTTTATGAGGCGATCAAGTGTCTCGTGACCTTCTCTGTTCACTTCACTAGGCTTTTTCAGCTGCCTTATTTGATAAGCTATATAGCTATCTTATCAGATAGGCAGGACCGTTCAGCTTCCTTATCTGAGAGCCTATCTTCTAGCTTTCTCTTCCTTATCAGATTCCTTATCAACCTCTCTCTCATCTCATCTCCCAGCTCCACACGATTGTTGCTTATGGCTATCTTGGGATTCTTACGAATGCTTCCTTTAGCTCCTATTGTAGCTACAAATGCCCTCAACTAAAGCTCATACCTCGAAAACCAGGAACTATTTGCATCATTACCTCAACTGGTCTATTTATTTTCTTAAGGCAATATGTGTAGATCTATTTCAATTTTATTCGTTGTAATAAGCATGCATCTTTTCCTTTTTCATTTTAATTTTCCTCATGTAATTAAATTGCATCGAGGGATAAGGTACATACGTACCCCCTAACTAGGTGTAATTTAAGTTTTTAATTAATAAAATCTCCCTCGCACCGTCGAGGTTCCACCAAAAAAAAAAGTGTCAAGTGACTTAAAAATAAGGTATGGAATAAAATTTCAAATGTTGAACAATAATTTAATGGAAATTCATATAAAAATATATTAAACTTAAATCGAGACAAAATTTAATCGTTTTGGAACAAAATCGGAGCTAGGAATGGGGAACTTGTGGCGCGATGTGGACCAAGCACCTAAAAGGTATAAATAGGAGAGAAAATCAAATTTCTCTCCATACCCATCATATTTTTCAGAAAATCAAAAGAAGATAAGGAAGCTCTACTTCTCTCTACGATCTACGCCTCCACATTGCTCGAATCAACACAAGTCAAGAATAAAAGTTGTTCTCCTCGTGGAGGGCTAAAAAACCATACCAAGAAGGTTGGATTTGGGTGAAATTCCAAGGACAGAATTTTGGAAAAAGTTTGGATTAAAGCTTGTTTCAAGTTATTGGAGCATCATATCGTTGTGTTATGCTTCCAAAGGAAGTGTTTTCATCCTAGCTAGGTTTATTTTCAACTTAGGTTTGAAATATGAAATGGGTAGGGTGTTAGAGATGAAATCTCATGTATAGCACTTACCTGTGGTATTTGAAATGTGGAAAATAGATATAGAAAAGGGTAAAATCAATTCTAACTTGAATTGGATAAGTAGAAATTACTTAATGTGATTTCTTGAGTTATGTGATGAATTTGGTCATTTTATGTGATTACATGATTTGGTGCCTTAAAGATGTTTGATTAAATGTCAATGTGTATTAAGTGTGTCAATTACTATGTTACTTGGAAATTGATGTTGGAGAAATGTTGGTATATTCATATAATATATTAAAATTGAAGCTATCGTTTGTGGTTATATGCTTATGGTATAATTTACCATGGGAAATGTTGATTGAATATTGGAATTCTTCGTATTGTGCTTATGACATATTGAACATGGTGTTGTTATTGCAATTTGAAATCTTAGTTGCATAAGTATATAAAATCCAATTTTACAAATACATTTGTATAAGCACGGGAAAGATCGCATTTATGGGTATTAACATGAGTGTCGGTGTGTGCATGGTGCTGGATCAAACACCACTGTTGGTGGTTGATAAGTGGTCTCGGAACAGTCGGACCAAGGTCCGACAGAGTTGCATGGCTGCATGAAAAACTTGTGTCGGGTATAGTAAGAAGGGCTAAATACTCTCTCGGGTGCAAGATCCGGTTACTAGTTTATACACTTTCGCCGATGAAAGTCCAAAAAAGTGTATCGGTGTTGTAATACTCCTAAAATATGGGGTCATTAGTTAACCATTAACCATCTGTCAACATGCGAAAATACCCGCGTTTATCGCAAACTCGACGTCACGTCAACAACATCCTCTTAACCGGGATTATAACCCACATGTGTACATTTTATCCTTTAATCGTATCGTGGTTCAAAGTATCACATTTCATACTTATTTTATGTCCATTTATATCCTTGGAACCAAAGAACCCATAGCCTAAGAGCTTGGCAAAGTAATTTTAAAATTTTCAAAATTTTGAAAAGTGTACTGGTACTGCGTACCAGTACGGGTTGCCCACTGGAAAGGTTGTACCCATACGGATAACCCACTGAAAAATATGTACTAGTACAAGTTACCTACTTGAAAATCTGTACCGGTACGGGTAACCCACTGAAACTCGTTGTACCGGTACGATTTGCCTTCTGGACAAGGCTGTACCGTTACACTTTGTCCAATTTTGTGACGCCCCAAAATCCGGGGGTCCGTTGATTACCCATCAACCCGCGGAATACCCGTGGATACCGAGTAACTCGATATCACACCGTTATGCCCCATTTACCGAGGTCCTTAATTTAACAAAATTCGAGCAGAGTCTCCTTTGTACGGGGAGCTCTACCCAAAACACAACCTGTGCAATATACATTAACATGGCCCGTCCGAGGCCCCATATAATACAATGACCACACAGGGTCCATTTATAAGTAAAACTTGACCACACCGAGTCCAATTATAACTAAACATTGGCCACACGGGGTCCAATCATCCATATTTATATCAAAACATGCAAGGTTAGTTTAACAATAGTCCATATAAGTTCTATTACAATTTTAAAATTACATGCTTAAAACATTCTTTCCACAAATATTTTACATCAATACAAAATAAAGCCACATTTGGCTTTCTTCAAACATGAGGGTCCAAATTGGAGCCATCCACCAGTGTACCTCTCCCACCTGAAATGTTTCCCATATAGAGTGAGTCAACGCTCAGTATAAAAACTCCTACAGAGGCTACTCCCCACCTAAAATGCGTATGCAATGCGCACATGCCACAAACAACTTCTTCCAAATAAGAATATGTTGTTCAGGATAGAATCTCATGATGTCATGCCAAGTAATGAGACGAAAATCACTCATGCATGCTATCCCGAGCCCACACCGACTCCCACAACACAATGCGACTCATATGTGTAAAACAAACGTCATTGATGAAACACATTCAAAGATCATTTTGAAATCAACCATATGTCATAAAACCAATTCATTCTTAGATGTTTCCCATCAAATGAATAATTTATATATCAAAATCATGTGCCTTTATGGGGTATCGGATTCAGGAATCGCACCTCCGGCTCCGTACGCCATTACACTTTTCAGGAATTTCACCGCCGGTAAGTGTATGAACCAAGTGGCCGAGTTTTTCACCCGAGGAAGTATCTAGCCCTACTTGCTATACCCGACACAAGTTTTCTTATGCATGTAACTGTGCAACTCCGAAGGATGTTCCATCCCACTTTCCTGAGCCCACCATTAAGCACCAATGTTGGTGTTGATCACCCCATGCAACCCTATACCCACACTCATACATGTAGCCCATGAATGTGATGTCAATTCCATGTCCATATTGCAATGCATGCCAAATGAACAATTTTTTTACATATCAATGTATACCATGTCAATTTATATCATTTGCATATAATCACCATAACCATTTCAAGTTCAATATATCCAAGAGCATATATCAACACTTCATCTACATGATAACACATAATACATGCTAATATCACATTTCATTCACAAGGCATAATATAAAACACAAAGCATGCCCACATGATCCCAATTTCCAAGGGATTACATAAATACTTCCATATACCAAAATCAAGCCAAGATTTTATATGGACCATTTCAAGCAAAATAAAAATCAGAATATATGATTTTTACATAACCAATTATCGAAACATTCTAGAAATCACAAACTAGCACTTTCTAACTACCAATTAACACTAGAATTGATCCTACCCATTTCCATAACACCAACCATAATGGAAAAATATTAGAAATACCCAAAACAGCCCAAATGAATCCTATGGACACCTTAGGTTAGAAATAGGTCCGAGTAGGAGGAACCCTACCTCTTGAAGCGTAAAGAATTCGTAGGAAACCTCAAGAACAAGATTCAAGCTCAAAGCTTAGATTTCTCCAAAATTCTCCCTTTGAATCTTCGGTGAACATCTTTGTTTTTGATACCCACGCGGAGCTCTCTTTGCGTAGATCGACTTTAATTCTTGGCCCTACCAATTCCGACCGACGGAACTCTGAGAATCGGCGAAAGAAAGCTTGAAGAATTTATTTTTTTCCTCTTTGCTCTTGGGTCTGATCCAGCCGGCCAAATGAAGAGAAAACATCTGATTTTTCAGATATTTGCCCACTTTTATACTTTTTAAAGACTTGGTCCTCGTCGCGCCAAGTGTCCTCCTTTGTCCGGGTCCGTTTTCGCCCCGAAACGATTAAATTTCGTACCGATTTAAGCTCAAAATATTTTATATGATCTTTATTTAAAATATTTTTTTAAATTTCAAATTTTTTATAAAAATTTCGTTTTTGGGGGTCACCGGACGCCCGTTGCCTCGAAAAACGTAAAAAACTCAACTATCTCAGACTTCGACGAAAATTGACAGGCAAAACGGTTTCACGATGCGAATCCAACTGTGAGAATCTCGCATAACAGTGACAAATTACCATTTTTCCCTTTATCGGAAAAAGTTCAAATTTTTCCCGGGTTTCATAAATTTTGCCTGTTTCGTCTGTTTTCAATTTCCAATCCATTCCAACCCACTCTAATACCATCCAAAACATACTTAACAAGGTTTCTCACATAAAATCTAATATGTACAAGTTCTATTAAAGACAATTCCATAGGATTACATGCCCAAAATATAATTTTCATAAAAATTATACAGAATGAGCTATCAAAAGCCACAAGTCGGCTCTCTTCATCTTTGAGGCTTGAAATGAGAGTCCTCCGCCGGTGTGAATCTCGCACTTGAAATGTTTTCTCGTATAGGGTGAGCTACGCTCAATAGAGTATCCCCTACAGAGGCTTCTCCCCCTAGATGCATATGAAACTGCACATGCAACAATTCAACAATCATTTTCCATTCCAAACAAGAATATGCATTAAAATGTTGGAATGCTACTATGTCATGTCATGATATGAGATGACACTCACTCATGCACTTTAACTCGAGTCCTCACGACTCCTGCAACACAATGCAATGCTAATGTGTAGCAAATGTATCATTGATGAATTTCATCCATGATCATTTGAAATAAAGGTCATATGTTTATAAAACCAATTTTTTTTTGGATGATACACATCGAACGACCATTTATAAAACAAGTACACACTTTTCTAGAATTTCATCTCAGGGGAGTGTACGAACCAGGTATTTTATAAAACAAAATCATG